GGTGCATAACAGTGACTTTGGTTCCAGAACAAATTCATTTTAATGCAAGCTTAAAAAAAATAAATCTTTTAATCACCGCGAATGTTCTGGTTTTATTTGACCGTGACACTTTGATAAGGCCAAAAAGGATTCCCACACAGAATTTTTTTTAAGTGGAAAATTTGGACCCTTTTTCCATTCTCTTTCAGAGCAGCAAAACATACCCCAGAGCCTGGAGCTGCCCATGATGGGGGATGCGGGACCTGAGCAGGGACTGGTCCCTGCCTTCCCCTGCACGGCTGTGCCCCATTGCTGCCCCACCAGGATGTAGCCCCTCGCTCACCTAAAGCTTGGGTGATGTGCAGCGCCACGGTGTTTCTGTTTGCTCAGGTAAGATCTCTTCGATTGCTCCACTAAAACTCACCATCACGGAGCCAGTGCCTCCCTGTGGTTGTGACATCTGTGGCGTGAGTTCCTCCCGGCCTCAGCCAGGCACCCAGGCAGGCACAGTGTCTGTGTGAGCCCAGAGGGAAGCTGCCTGCCAAGAGACAAATCGTGGCAAAGATGGGGACCAGCCCGGCTCTAACATGCCCCGTAGCAAAAGCCCTGACTCGGAGGCTCCCCCTGGCCACTCAGGAGGAGAATGAGCTGCAGTGGAGTACTCTCAACACCATTTAGCAGTGCTTGGTGTGGAGAGGGTAATTGCAGCCATCCCAGACAGTTCTCTCCTGTTTTCCAGCCGGGATGTGACACGCCATCCTTGGCAGGGTCATCTGGGGCACAGCCCATCGCCCGGGTCTGCAAGGCCAGTCTAGAGCCAGTGCAAGGGGAAAGCTCTCAAACATGTGCAGGGCAGCTATGGAGGCCTCAGCACTGACTCTTTTGCAGTTTGTGTAGTAGGACTTACACCAACATAGGTCTTTGCCACCCCACACCGGTGCCTGTGCAATGACACCCGCTCCGGCACAGGCACACAGAGGGCGTGCGGCTCTGCTCTGCCTTCACCTCCCACTCCACCCCAGCCAGGGCATCCCCTGGGCATCCTTCGCGGGGTGCGGGCTCAGGCCTCACCCTGAAAATCTCCCCTGTGCTTGTCCCTGACCTCAGCTGCATGGGTGGCTGTGAAAATGCACATCCAAGTGCTTTGTTTAACACCCACAGCAGGGAGCTGGAAATCATAGAATCATCATAGAATGGTTTAGATTGGAAAGGACCTTCAGATCATCGAGTTCCACCCCCCCTGCCTACGGCAGGGACACCTCCCACTAGACCAGGTTGCTCAAATCCCCATCCAGCCTGGCCTTAAACACCTCCAATAGGAGACCTTGCTCCCAACCTGGATGTCCCAACTCCAAGACCACTAATGGCCTTAACTGCCCTGACCAGCCCCACCTGCCCCCTCAGCCTGGAGCTACATTTAAGCTCAGCTTTGGGCCCCCTTTCCCACTCTGAGCGGTGTCAGAGGTGTACCTGGATGGATTTTGGACCTGCATTGCAACCCTATCTCCTGCTGTTCTGGGATTATGCAGCAAACGACGTCTGCGTTTCAGTGTGTCAGAGCAGTAAGTGAAAGCTAGAAGTCTGCTGGAAGCTGTGCCTCCCCGGAGAGAGCTTGGGTTAGCTTTTTACTGGTTTGTAATGGAAACTGAATGAAAGAAGTACACCCTAAAATTTCAGAGGATGAGATGCTTGAATGAGCTTTCCCTGAGTTTGTGCTGATTTAGAGACCCCCAGATGCACCCAAGCAGGGGTATCAGACCTGCCGGTTGGGGGGCTGCCCCTTCCTGCTGCTGGGCATCGATGTGCCCACCAACCCCCCCACCTTGTGCCTCGCACGGCAGGGAAGGAAACACCGTCAGCCGCAGAGGATGGAGGTACTTTACTCCCTCACAGGCTGCTATCAACTTGCCCTTTAGACAGAGGAGGCGGGGGGGTGGCTCTGTTATTAGCATGGAGGTACCTCACCCCCAGTTTGGGGATAGCCCAGAGCCCAACTGCCCCACCTCCCAGCAGCCGGGGTGCAGGGTCCTCCGCTCTCCGAGAGACAAGTAAAAGTTAAAGTTAAAACTTTAACTTTAGCTCTTAGCCTTGTGAGCTCTGCAGGTCTGTTGGGCTGTGCCAGCTGTCCTTGGGGCCAGAGAGCGTGTCGGGGCCATTCCTTTGCTAGCAGGGATGTCACCAGGGTATCCCGAGTGCCAGGTCAGTGCCGGCCAGCTTGGTGGCTGCTTTCAAAGGCTCCTTTGAAGTCGAGGTGCTGTTTGCGGGGTGCTTTGCCAGCCGGCTGGGCGCCTCCCGGCTCGGTGAGGGGGTGGGCGAGAGGTGCCGGCGGTTCTCACAGCTGCGGGGCTGGGAAGGGCAGCGGGGCCATGGGACCCCATGGGAAACCCCCGCAGCCTCGCGCTCGGCTGCCCAAGCCATTGGGAACACAGTTGGGTTTTTTTCTCATTAATCTTCAGTAATAAAGTCAGCGTCGGAAATCCCAGGGGAGCTCGGATCTGTGGGATCGGGCGGTTTGTGTGAATGCTGTCCAGCAGACACCGAGCGCCCCTTACGTGCTCTCCTTCCAGCTGGGGCCGGGGCCACGTGCCCCTGGAAAGCAGACAGCCCCTGTAGGCACCCGGCTCTGCAGAGCTCCTGCTGCCCGGAGGAGCCCCAAGCTTTGGTTCTGTCCCCTAAAGACTTTTACCTCCTTTACCTCTTTCAGTCCTGAGTGGGCAAATCCCCTTGTCCTGAGGCTCTGCCCTAGTTCAGGGACCGATGCTCTATAATCTCTTCCACAGTCCCAGGGTGGGGGCTTAAAGAAACTCACAGAGCAAATTAGGGAAATTGAGGTCCAAAATGAGCGCTGAAGCTTCACATGAGGGTCATAAGAAAGCCACTGGGACTGCAGTTGTGCATTTTAGCAGAGGCTTATCTGAAACACTGAAAATTAAACCATATACCATTGAGCAGAAACAAGGGTTGCACAGAAATAGCTTGTATTTTCCGCAGACCTTTGTCCAGTAAGAAATATTTGGTTTGTTCATTTCAAGGCTTTAGAGCGCTAAGAAAATATTTCCAATAAGAAACTACCCAGACCTTCCTTTTCTTCCCACGACAGCTTGATTTCTTTAAGAGCCCTTCTGGGAGAGCTTTTTGGAGATCCAAGTGCACTCCAAGGACCAGATTGTCTTGTGTACACAATGGCTGGTTTCCTCCAAGAGCACTCTAGGTTTGTGCCTTGCAACTGCCCCCTCAAAAGCCACGTGGAATCTCCCATTACACCAGATTTATCCTGGGCTCTGTTATTTCAAGACTTTATTATCCTTTTCTAACAACTTGCCTTTTATAGAAGGCAGCCTCGCTGCTTTGCCATTTCCTGGTTCCCACTGGAACTTTTGAAAAATTAGCATCATGTTTAACAACATTGGCTTTTTGGGTAGAGGGCTCACCGTAATTCTCTTCCAGGTGAATATTTGGCAGTTCATCTGAGCAGATTTTTAACCATGTGTTCTAAAAATGGAGTGACAAATCTCTCCTCTCCTCCCAACCACCCCCCCGCCTCCCTGCCTTGGGACAGTCATGCAAATGCGTGTCCCCTCAGGAATGAGCCTAATGTGAGCTCCTTCACAGCAAAGGGCAACGCAAGTCACTCACCAAGCTTTTCCATGATGGCTCTTTCCTTCTCACAGAGCCTGATCACGTCCCGTCCCCGGGGCTCTCTGGAGAGCTTTCTGCTTCTCACATAGTCACAATTAATTTTTACGCCTTCAGGATGCTTCCCTCAAATCTTTTGTGGCCTTCCTTTCACTTGTTAACTTTCCAGAGCTTGTATTCTTTTTTTCCCTCTCATCTGTATGCAATTTTCACTTCTTTTAAGGTCTTGCCACTTCAGGTGGTCATTTCCACTCCCCCCTATAAGCACATCACCTTTTTTAAGTCCAGCCTACCTCTCATTTCCCCTTTGACATTAAATATTACTTTAAAGATACTGCTCTTGCTCTCACCAGGACAGTCTTATCAGTAATTAGGGCTCTGTAGCCCCTCACTTGTTACCTCTGAACTAAGCTCTGTGCGTGGTTCAGGAGTCACTCGGGGAACACACGCTGTGGGCTTACACCGCCCCACTGCCTCCACCAAGCTTCTGAGGTCCAGCCTGATGATTAAAACGCTTGTGCAAGAGGAAGGAGACCGGGGATCCCGGTTCCCTCCACTTGCTGCATCCGAGTCACTGACACAGGAGCCACGGATGAGGTCGAAGAGGAGAAAACCCTGGAAAGCAGAGTTACCCAGAGCACTGGGACTCTGGCCAGCTGGGAATTCGGGAGTCACGTAAATCCTGCATCCCAGCTGCGGAGCCACCAAGTTCCACGACCTCAAGCACAAGGCCTGAGAACGGCCGGGGCAATGGCTGGGACACGGCGCTGCTCCTCCAGCCTGCTCCATGCCCGCAGCAGGGACCTGCTCCCCTTCCAGCACCTGGGCAGCATGGGGCAGGGACAAGCCCACCCTGAGACATGCGCAGGGCTGGCATCACCTCCAGCACACTCAGAGCACCCCTGGGAACAGGGCTGAGCTCCGCTTCTCTTGTGACCATCAGGAAAGCCCAGAGGAGCTTTTTTTTTACAAGTCTTACGAGGAACAACTGAGGGAACTGGGGTTGTTTAGGCTGGAGAAGAGGAGGCTGAGGGGAGACCTTATTACTCTCTACAACTACCTGAAAGGAGGTTGTAGAGAGGTGGGGGCTGACCTCTTCTCCCTGGTGAGAAGTGATAGGACAAGAGGAAATGGATTCAAGTTATGCCAGGGGAGGTTTAGATTGGATATTAGGAAATTTTTTTTCACTGAAAGGGTTATTAAACATTGGAACAGGCTGCCCAGGGAGGTGGTGGATTCGCCATCCCTGGAGGTGTTTAAAAAAAGGGTAGATGTGGTACTTGGGGACATGGGTTAGAAGTGGTTTTGTCAGGGTAAGTTAATGGTTGGACTCGATGATCTTAAAGGTCCCTTCCAACCTCAGCAATTCCATGATTCTATGAGGAGCCAGCGGTGACAGGAGTTTTCAAGTCAATGCAAGTATTTGCATGGCGTCTGTGCTGCTATAGGCACTAAAGCAGTGCAAGTGCAAGTGCAAGTGCAAGTGGTAAGAAGCTGCTATAGGCACTAAAGACAGCCTGGATGTGAAGAGCAGCATCCCTGTAGCGGCCCCTCTGCACCCAGAGCAGATCTGCGAGGATAAAGCACATGCTGTGTGTTTGCAGAGCCCTACTTTGGGGCAGAGCCAGTGCCGCAGGCACATCAGCAACTGCTGCTGAGCTTCCAGGAGCTCCGCTATCCAAGCGGCACTGGTGCCACCGTGCGCTCTGCGGGGTGCAGTCTCAGCACAGGCAGCTGCGCGCTGTCTCTGCCTTTCTGCCTTCTGTCTACAGCGTGGCCGCTTGCCCGTGTGCGTTCCTTCAAGTGTCACCAAAAGACGCCATCTGTGAACAGATGCGGTCAGGCTGGCAACGGGCAGGAGACAAACAGCATTTCAGCACAAAGTCGGCACAAACAAACCAGTCAGAGGATTTTATTTTAAGGCCTCAATTCCAGAAATCGCCTGGATTACACCATTTTCACCTGGATTCGCACGCTGGATTCAGGCAGGGGAGCACATTGTTCCTCCTCACCCACCAGCCGGCACCTGTGTGTTTGATCCCTTGACAGAATCAGCCACTATGCAAAGTGCACCTCCATCTCCCCGTTAGCCATGCAAGCACCCCACTCCTCCCCCACGCGTGCATTCATCCTCGGCCCAGCAGAGCGCCCGAACGGTGGATCAAGCTCTTTCCCGCCCTTCCCTTTTGCTCTACGTGCCCTGCTGCGGCACTGCCTTTCCCAGCTCGTGGATGGCCCCGTTCTCCAGCACCTCCACCTTCCCCTTGCCTGGCTGCAGCACACTGGCCACCATAGCCCTGGCCACCGTTTCCACAGGCACCGAGTAAGCGGTGGGGAAGACCCGAGCCACGACACCCAGAAACTGCTGGGCCATCCACTCCGCGGGGCGGGACTCCTGGCGCTTGCACAGCAGCACCCTGCAGAGCGAGGAGGTAAGGTGGGTCAGGCTGAAACCATCCCCCAGCCAAAAAGCTAGGAACTGGGTTCTCCAGCTGCTCTGGGGGCCCAGCCCAGCTTGCTAAACCCAGGCGGGGGCCGTGGGGCTTTGGCAGGGTCCCGAAACATGACGGAGGCTGAGCCCTGGGACGCTAAACTCCTTTCCCCGCAGTGCTGCTAAAACCAGGATGCCAGTTCTCCCAAGCAGCAAGAGCTGGGAGGATACAGGTGAGTATCTCCACTGCATAAGGTCAAGGTCTGTGGGGCGATAAGGTTTGACCTATGTCCCCCAACCCTTGCTTTCCACCCAAGCTTCCTCTCCTTGCATGGCACGTGACACAAGCATTGGGATGAGCCGTGGGAAACTGCTGCACTTGCTCCCTGCAGCTTTGGGAAGCAGCGTGCTCGTCCAGGAGCCGCATTTGCAGCCGGTGGCTTTCTCCACTTCCCTCCCCTTACGCGTCCTTTCTCTCCTCCTCCATCTCCCAGCCCGATGCCCTGACAACCCTCCAGCTGGGTCCTGTGCCCTCCCTCCTCCACCGCTTACTCACGCTGGCCGGAGGATGGTACAGCGATCAAAACCAACAGCCTGGACCAGGTTCTCCACTTCTCCCTGTCAGAGCAGTCGGGCAGGATGAAAGGAGACAAGGATGACTGCAAGCACCATCCCTGCTGCCCCATGCTCTGGCAGGAGAGTTGGGCAGGATGGCACTAATGCCAACGGTACAGGCCAGGCATTGCCTGGGCAGTGAGCAGCTCTCCAGAAAAAGGCGGTGTGGGGTGAGTGTCCACGGTGGACACATTGACAGTTAGTCAGCAGCGCACCCTTGCAACCATCATGCTAACTGCAGCTGGATGCTCCCAAGACAGCATCTGGACGCAGTGTCCAGCCTGGCACATCCCGGCACAAGACACTGGCAGACAGCAGTGAGTTCAGCAGATGTCGAGGGCTGCAGCACACAACGTATGGGGAAAAAAACTTTTGTGATGGGTATGGTCCTGCCTGGGGAGCCTGTGGGGTCTCATGTCACCCCTGAGCCACCCCACCTAGCTGTGAAGCCATCCCAGCTCGGGGCTGGGGAGCTGGGGTCAGGCTGGAGACCCTACAGGGTCTTTCTGGTGGTTTGAAGAGGGAGATGGACACTGTGCTGCTTTGGACGAAACCAGTCGCATGGCTGTCCTGCCAGCCCCTTTCCCTCACCCCCTCGTCCCCCAGCACCAGGAGGACCCTCGGAACCATTCGTGTCTCTTGACCCCTCAGCTCCTGCTTCCTTCCTGAGCGTTCCAGCAGAAGCCCACCTCAGCTGCCCCCTCACCTTCACGCGGAGGTAGAGGAAGTGGCTGCGCGGGTTCGCCCCCCGGGAGGACTGCAGGACAAAGTGTTTGCAGCCCCCTGCCCGTGCCAGCTCCGCTGCCTGCGCGACGTAGTCCCGGTCCACACGGACAAAGCCATCCTGCGGATCAAGCCGGGAGAGGAGGGTCAGCACGGCAGGGGGGGGTGGAGGCGGGGCCCCCCCCCGCCCCCC